GTGGTGCATTGTAGTGTTGTAAACAACGTCATTTATAAGGGTTATGTCATGTATAAGATACAGAACACACTACATTATCCTCCTTAATGAAATTAGTATTGCTTGCACATTTGGAGTGAGCTGTTGTTTGTGACAGCTGTCGGCTAAGATGTAACATACACATACTGTATGTAGACTTAACCCTGAAAATGTCAGGCCGTTGCGATTGATGTGGAACGAAAACAAAGGATGCTTTCCTGTGTTTAACCATCGGTCAGGTTTTCACAGCTGATTGATTGGCTTCTCTTTGCTGCCAGAAAAGAAATCACAGCGCTCGTGCCGGACACAACACAGGCTCACATCAATCACCGGGCGAGCGTTGGCTTGTACAGCAAAGCAGCAGCTGACATTCACACAAGAAAGCTGCCAATGTTTCCTCCAGACACGCATCGCACAACTCGCACGCAGGGTGAACTGAGCGTCAACTGACAGCGTGATGAGATCTTCTCCGATGACACACGATGCCCATCTCCTGGCCTTTTCTTTTCTTGTGTTTTATCTTAGATGTGTTGGGCCCCTTCCTCCCTGCAGCCTACACCATGCCTGTCATTCATTTGTGCACTCATGCTTTACTAAAAATGGTCAGCTGGTGCAGTGAAAAAGTGAAATTGTTTCTTTAAAGCATGAAGTTGCACTTTATTTCCCAAAATGGAAAATACAAGCAAGACTATTTAGTCCAGCAGATTTGTATATGGTATTATTATTATTATATTTTTCCAGCAGGTTTTAAAAGAATATCCTAAACCTCAACCCACTGAGGACATGATCATAGCAATAGCAATTATATGCAGTATTTTCCTATTAGCAAGGCCAGTTTGCGTCCTCTCTGTGGAATAATGTTTTCATATAAAATGCTGAGTGAATGTCAGATATTCTGTGTGTGCTAATGTGACTGTGGCATCTGATCCTGACTCAATATCATTGCAGGTCATCAGCTTATGACCTTTTTTCAACACACAGGCTTTTTAAAACACGCAGCCTCACCTTGAAGCTTTTCTTCAGAATTGTCATCCGTCTTCATAAATCACAATATCAGTAAATCGATATTTCTGAAATGTTTCTTTGTAATGTTTTAGAGCCTTTCATATCTTGAAGAAAAACACAAATATCTGACTCAAACGTAGATGTCGCACAGGACACACTCTCTCTGCATCTCTCACACACACTCACGTTGACTCTCTCTCTCTCCCTCTGCCTCCTTCCCTCCCTGCTTTTTTTTTCCACTTTATGCGCTCTCCATTAGGGAGGCTGTCAGTACGCTTTGCTGCGACTATAGATCGTCACGTCAAAACAGCCCTGAAACCTCACCCCTCCTCTCCTCGAGAGAGCAGGGCCTCTGTGAAAGCTATTATTCGTTCCTCTGTTCAACCGATTAGCCACCGCTCCCATTATTACTGATACAGGTCCTGGCTTTGAAATGGCATGACTTCGATAGGATTACCTCGTTTGTAATTCATATCCAGAGGCCTACCAATCCCAATGAGAGAACAATAATAAGCTTGCTAGTGGTGCTTATTTATTTATTTTCTCTATTGAGTTCATTGTAAGTGCACACATGTTCTGGGTAGGGATGATGTAGAATACAATCCAAGGCCGTGCCCATTTTCTTGGCATTGTCAGATTTTGTGTTTATGGCCGTTCATTTGTCAAATTGACTTAAGAGGGCATGATAGTCTCACCCTTGAGACTTCTTCTTGTTGCGCATCACTTAAAATGAAATAAGAGACCTGTCAAAGCACAGTTCACCTGTCAACAGTAAGATATGACCGTAAAGACACTAGAATAGAAATTGTATCAAGAGACAGAAAGCTTTAAAAAAAGGCTCATGCAAGCAAATTTGTTTTGCTTCTTCTACTTCTTCTGTCTAACCTTAACCCTTCTGCCATATGTTAGCACATAGACCCTTAGACTTTCTTTTCACATTGGTCTTTTAATGTTCAACACATGCTGAGGGTTAGCCAAGTTTGCATTAATATCCAAAGGGAGACTTCTTAAGTTTTGCCATCCAATCTCAATCCACAAACTTTTGACACCCTTGGTGCAGTTGAACCAACTCGATGTTTAAAAGATGAGACGGCTATTGGCAGGCCCTTGAGTTATGAAACCAATAAGCATGGGTCAAAGCCTCGTTATTTACATTTGGCCCCGCACTGCAGGTTAGTCCGAGGAAGATTTTAGATGGCAGTAATATGACACCATGTTGTGGGCACTGCAAGTGAAGTAATAAATTGCTCTGTCATACATTTGGTTAAAATAATGTTGAGTCAAGGCCTTGGTTATTATTGTTGGTCCCAAAGAAATAATATGCGCATGAACTGAAAAAATTCAAAAGAATAAAAGAGCACACTGACAGAGGTAAAATTGTTCCATCTTCGTTATGAATCATTACCTGCATAACTTTAAAGTTTCTTTTTTTTTTTTATTGAAATTCTTTTGTTTGCTAAATCCCCAAAGTGTGAATACAGTAGCAGCTGCAAAGCTTCCCAGTGTTCGCTACACCCAAAAATTGAATAATAAACAATGGTAATGATGATGAAGTGGCTATGAATATGAATTCCCTTGCAAATTAGCGTTTGGCACACAAAGGCCTTTTCTGTACTGAACTGTACCGACCCTCGGACAGGGCACAGCATAAAAACCCTTTGATTTTCAGAAGGAATGAGGAACTGTTGTAATGTGTTTTGTGTGGAATGGCAGCATGTGCAAACTTTTACAAGGGGGCCAACATTCAAGGTGATGTGAGGTTCTGAATGCAGTGAATGCATCAAATATACAGTTCCTACCCTTTCTGCTGAGTTTGAACAATTTTGACATCTTCCACATTTTACTGCCACTAATGCTAACTCATGTTTAAATTACTATAAACTCATCAGCATTTTGCTGTTAAACTAGTGTTAATATACCATTGACCCACATTATTCATTCAGTTTACACGTCACATAACTGTTTATTTTGCACATGTCCACTTTTTGCACCTTTGTTCACTGTTACTCACATTACTTTTAACTATTTGCACATTTGCATTGTACATTTTTCTATTCCTTACTGTGTATTTATTATTATTACTGTTCCTCTTTTCTAATTGCGTGTTGAGCAACTATTAAAAAGCAATATGCCTGCAGGGATCAGATTCTGATTATGATATTGATAATTGGCCTTCTGTGTGGGGGATGGAAAGGACAAAAATAAGCAATTAGACCTGTTCTACTGGTGAATTGTGTATAATAAGTGTCCACTTTTCATTTTCTTATATATATATTTCAAAGGAACAGCTTGTTTGCATTATGAGATATTTTGTACTAATTGTCTGTTTTGTGGGTTGGTATTATTGATATCATAAGACATAAGACACTTCATTTGTCATCATGGGCAAACAACAAAATTATGTTAGGTAATTAACTCTCAGAGACCAACAGCAATAGAAAAAAAGAAACAAGGTAAATGTGAGGAGGTAGTGTCCTCTTTTTGATGATATAGTAAATAAAGGCATTTGAATAAGGCAGGTAAACAGTGACAGGCCCACAGGAATAAAGCATACCACACTCTCCATTTCCTTCTCACCATTTATGTGGAGAGGGGGCAGAGGTGTGTGGTCATCCTGGATCTCCTAATCCGGGTCTAATTGGTTTTTGTGGCTTCTAGGACCAGACTATTGTCCAGTGTTGGACCTCCTGTCTGTATTGTGCCTCCCCATTGTCAGATATGAGTCCATGTAGTGGTGTCGTCAACAAACTTCACTAGTGTTAGAAGAGAAGGATGGGGGTGCAGTCATGGGTGAAGAGGGCTGGACTAAGCACAGAGCCCTGTGGTACACCTGTGCTCAGGATTAGGGTTGAAGGATGTGTGTTTACCCATTCTGAAATTTTGTGGTCTGTTAGTGAGGAAGTCTATAATCCATAAACAGAGTGAAGTGGCTAATCCCAGGTTGTTGAGCTTGTCTACCAGTTTATTGGGGATTATAGTATTAAAAGCGGAGTTAAAGTCAAGAAATAGCTTCCTGCCATATGTGTCTGGATGCTCGAGTTGGGACAGGGCTGTGTGAAGTTTGATTGAGACTGCATCCTTCGCAGATGTGTTTCCTGGATAAACAAGATCAGGAGGGGTGATGGCTTGATGTGAAATAGTACAAACCTCTCATAGCACTTCTAAACAACTGGTGTTAGGGCAACTGGGCGATAGTCATAAAGACTTTTAACTGCTTTCTTTTTGGGCACATGGTCAGCTCATGACTTGAGTGTTTGACCTTACAGCCAGTCTGCCTCCACTGCTTTGGGGATGTCTGTTTTCATTAGAGTTTTTTTCTTCAAACTCAAGTTATTCTGCTCAGTATTCAGCAGTTCACTTTGCCCCGCCACTCTTGGTATATGCATATGTGTGTTGGCGTGAATACTTTTCAGTGCATATAGGTGATAGCACTCTACCTTGGAGCTAGTCTGCTCTCTCCACATAGCACTGCGAGAATGAAGTGTTGCCTTCCTGGAGGGGACATATTCAGGGAGTCTTAGATGGTGCCTTGGGCTGCCCTCCAGACCATAGAGACCAGCAGCAGTCACTGAAAGCCAGCCTCTCCCTGCTCTCCTGTAATCCTCAGTTTTCCCTGTCAAACTGTTTTACTTATACACTGTCTAACCCCATTTAATTTATTCATTCTTTTTTTTCTTTTCTTTTTTTTATCTGTAAATGTTTTATAATACACAGCCGATACACACTTTTGATTTATTTACTTTCTTAAAGCAGTGGGTTGGTAAGATTTTGTGAAAATGTTTTTGCTGCTGTTGCCATGACGATATTCATTTTATTCATGCACTCACTGAAAAGCAGTGTGCTACACCAGACAGAATCTATTACCTAGAACACAGTGCTCTGGTATACACGGTAAACAAGAAACTAAAAGATGCAGACCATTATCACTGTCTCACAGTCTTAACTTCTTAACGCCGTTTTCCTCCCTTTCTACACAGGCCCCTGTCATCCAAACCCCTGCCACAACAGAGGAACATGCGAGATCAGCGAGACCTACAGGGGCGACACCTTCATTGGTTACGTCTGCAAGTGTCCACCAGGCTTCAGTGGAGTTCACTGCCAACACAGTAAGCTATGCTGCTCTCTTCCACGTTTCTCTAAGGAACCTTGAAAACATTTCAATTCTCATAAAAAACTATATTAAGTCAACAAGTATGTAAGGGTGGAAAACCTATGCCACTCTTTTTACACATTTCCATGAAGTATGATTTGTCCGTCTGATTTGAAAGGTTTTTTGAACACAAATAATGACCTTGAGCAATGAATAAATGTTGAAAAGCCAACAAAGTAAATTGCAGTTGAAAGGATGAGTTCAGCAAAATGATAGTGGGTTTGGTAGAGAAAAGAAGTGCTGAACTTGCTTTCTTTTGTTGAGCATGCTCTTAATAAAGGTTAGTGTCAGAAGGTCTTTGCTGTCTATGAAATAATACTTTGTTAGTCCAGGAGCATCGTTCTCAACCCCAGTACAATTTATCCTCTATCTTTAAACTGACTCTCTGAACTCTAAAGCCTCTAACGCCCTGAAACTGGACACAGGGGTAATCACTGCAAACTGCATACCTGAGATACCAGGCACACGAGGGAGCGAGCAACACCAGCAACTGTAAAAATGTGGACACATCATTGTAGTTGTGTGTAACCATGATGTAATAAGAGGTGTCACTAGTGGGTTTTGATTTAATTTACAGCATTTTACAATGAACGAAATGAAAGTGCTGAGAAATGATAAACATCGCGCTTCTTAAAACAACAAAAACTTCTATTGATTTCTCCATCTTTTGTCCTGAAATTCCTTTTGTTTGATTTAATAACTGTTCAAAGCAAAAACAAGGTGAAGTAGTAAACTGTAGTAGTTATTGTTTTCAGCAAGTATTAGATTCTTTCAAGGCTTCGTTGCGTCAATATTACTTGCAGCACCACTTACTCATTATTTTCTGACAAGTGAAACTGATTAATTTATTTGAAAAAGAAAGGATGACACAGAGCAGGTGGAATCAACATTAGCTAGCCACCAGTTGAAATACACAAGTGTAGCATTAAACCTTTACATTCATATCCTGCATTTTGAATACATGCCAGGATTTGGAAATAGCATGTAGCTTTGTCGTCAAGTGCTAAATCTTGCTAATCCTGCAGTATAATATTTAGGCCAGGGCCTATGGCTGCCCTGCATGTGTGTGTGCTTGGCTGAGCATCGCATTAGCCTGCACTACGCGGTTGTCCTTCATTGCAGGTGTGCTTGTAAGTAATGGGTTTAATGTATCATGGTGCAAACTGTGTGGTGAGATGGATCCTTACTTTGTTTGAAAGAAAGAGAGGGAGAGAGAGAGAGAGAGAGCGAGAAGCCACAAACCATTTGTTTCTGTCTCATAACTGCCACATTTACACCAAGGTTAAACAAGAAAAAAAAATAATACGTGGACTTTTATTTTGGAACAGTCAGTCTCAGCCATTTATTGGTTTCCACATCATTGTTTTTCTTTTTTCCCCCCTATTTTATTAAAATGCACAAAATATAAAAGGAAATGCAGGAAGTCATTTTATCAACAGTATGTCATTGTGTGTGTCTCCAGCCAGAACTATGAGCAATTGGCTAGCATTTATGTCATAATTCAGTTATTGTTGCCTATTAAGGCCTTAGGGTGGTGAGAAATTGATTCAATATGGGTTGAATACACATTAATGTCTGCCAATTTCCTTCACAGTCATTACAGTTGAATGGAAGAGAGTGGGTGAGACAGAGAGAGAGAGAGAGAGAGAGAGAGAGAGAGAGAGAGAGAGAGAAAGAATCCTGTACCTGAAGACATTAATAATCAAATCTAGCATCTGGGTAGTTCCTTCAATTAAATGATAAAGGCACATAAATAATTGTTCTTTTGGAATGACAGCGTAGTTGGTATGATACTGGTGTTTAATGGATGGCAAGCTTAATGAACAGGATAAAATTGATAAAAATAAAAAAACACTGGCTGAGAATTCTGTATGGTACAAGAAACAAAACAAAAGGCAGCAGGTGAACAATCTGTCATATAATCTGTGTGCTGTTTTAATGAATGTCACCCAATTTTATGGGTAGATAATGATGTAAGTCTTTCCACTGCTGATGACAGTTCAAACTAGTACATAACTTTTAAGTACTGCATCTGTCGATATTATAAATTCATCAATACACTCACTAGTCTTTGTTTTAATAAGGTCACAGCTGTTGCGACAGAATGGAAGTCTGCTGCTTGGAGTATTAGCTATTCATTATAAAATATTAAACCAAATACTTAAGAAAACAAACCCTTCACTCAGCATCTTTACAGTAAGTTTTTTAAGTTGGATTTAAGATGCTGGATTCAGGATGGTCTCGGATTGTAGGATTACCCTTCAGTTTATGTGATATTTAATCCAGTGTTTTAAATCAGTGTTGGCCCAGATCGATGTTAAGCTTTGTATACTGTGTACTATACAGATGTAACATAAATATGTGTAGGCCAGCCCTGGCTTTTTACTCCAGCTCTTACCATCCTTGCTCCGTCAGAGCTAAATCCAATTTCACACCTTTGAATGTTATCCTAAATACATGCACTACATATCCTGCTTGTTAGAACAGTTTTATGAAGCACAGCCAGGAATGATGTTGCACATGGACAGCTAGGATAAGTACAAGCTATTTCAGACTCCTTTGATGGGCAGGTACTGTAAGTACTTAATATTTCTGACTTCTTTTTCTCTTCGGAACGCAGCCATCAGTGACTCAACTTGAGGTGTTGATGTTTCCACATTCAGGTCAGACTTCAGACAATCACAGCTGAAGGGTGATGGAAGTGTGCAGCCACAGCAGGCATTCATTAAAGTGAAAGTTTTCTATGTCTGATTTCACTCAGCCACTTTACATGCCACTCTATGTTTACATGCAATTAGATCTCACAGTCTCTTGTTTCAGGCTTTTCAAAGATCACTTAAATGTTAAATTCTGAAGGTGTGTTTTGCACTTTGCATTAGTAATTAACTTTTATAAAACTAAGTTTTTATCTCAAAGCTTTGATGTTATATTTTACTTTTAAATTATTACTCAGACCCAGTGTGATACAGTTTAATACCTGTTCTAAATCTGTTGTGCCACATCTATCTTTCAAGACCACATCAGTAAACCAGGGCTAACTTTGGCCAAGTGTCACTGCTTTTATTGTTAGAGCCCTCACTATAGCAAAGTCATTCATCTTCTGAATAGTGTGGCGTCATGTCCCTGTGGTGACAAGTGAACAAGTGCCACGTTATTGGGAAAGCAGCCAAACATTGTAATGAACTGTCACAGTGTGAAGATTGGGACTGATTGCCTCAGTCGTCATTTTTAGGTCACACGTTCTTAGTCTATCAAGGACAAATGAAGTATAAACTCTTGGGATTTTCATTGGAGTCTTTTATTTTTTCTGCACTGAATTTTACTGTAATGTCTCACCATAAACAGCCGTGTGTAACAGGCCCACCTTGTGTTGAGGCTGATATGAACAACGTGATTTAATTTGATGCATTAATACTAAATCCTGTCTTGGAGAGTTGTCAGATCAGATGAGGATGAGTTGCCCTCTATAGTCTTTGAATAGTGGAGCTTGATCAGAAGTTTCTGCAACTCGTTCTTCTCCCTCCCTCAACTCTCTCACTCAGTGATGCTATATGTGGGGCTCACTGCAAATCAAAGAGAAAATTAAAGCTAATAAAGAAGCTATTTCCATAAAGTATGAACTGGTGTCCTCAGGCTGTTGGTTATTTGTGCAGAAACATACTGTCACTGTAAAAGGAAAAAAAAAAAGAGTTAACAAGTTAATTTGGCAAACTTGTCTCTTATATAACTCGTGTTCATTTTCTAAATCAGTGCCTTTCCATCCTCATATGGCCTGCAAGTCCTTTGACCAGATTCCATCTTACTCTTTGATCAATAAATGTCTTTGCCTTTCTTACTGAAACACACCAGCAGTGCAGGATTGATTGAGGCTAAATGTGGGATGTATGAGTTTTTTCTTTTTTTTAAAGCAAGGCCCATGTATTTGATCATGTATCGACAGCCACTATCATGCTGTATTAGCCCTGCTGCCTCCACAGCATCATACCACAGGATAATCAACCAGGGTTTATGGCTGTGGCAAAAGGAGCCAATACTGTTAGTCATCTCACCTGGGGCAGACTGCGGACTGTCTTTTCGTCAGCTCTTTACTCTTTTGTACCACATATAGGACTGCATTAGTGACCTGTTTAGTGTATTTTGCAGTAAGTAAGGAGGCATCCAGTGACACTTCCATCTCCTTTTCTTGTTTACTTTTTTCCTCCCTCATGTTTCATCAGGCCCTCTGACTCCTCGCCTTCGCATAGATTTTTATGGAGTGTGAGCAAGAGAAATAGACATCTGACTTATTTTCCACTCTCATCTGTTTGTTGTTCTCAATTTACTGCCTTAGAGCAAAATGATAGCACAGACAATAACATACCAGCCCAAGGTAGCATGAATGAGTATCAAAAGGACATTTTAACCCTTAAAAAATTGACTGCAACAATAGACTCTATTAGTCAGGCACAAGGCAGAGGCAGGGGTCCGACAGTTTCTCCCAGCACCCTTTCCGCTCCCATGAACACCCACCACTTCACAGTGCTAACACACCCCTGAGTGGTTACCTGCTCCTCTTCAAGCGAAAAATGACTCGCCCCTCTCAAACCTGCCACTGTATCACAGGAGGTGACTTTGTGGCAGCATATCTTCAGGATGTTATGATGGCAGGGGGAGGGAGGCAGGTAGCGCTTGTTAACTGGCATATCCTCCACTCCTCCCATGGAGGCCACCAGGAGAGGACAGTGGGTGAGGTGTGGAGAGATTGGTGAGCTTCTGGTTTTCTGCTCCCTCTCACTGTGACTGAGGCAGTTGTTATCACCTTCTGGCTGTGAGACCACACTGTTAAAGTAACCTCAGATCTTGACGAAGCATGAAGACTTCCTTTTCATTTTGTAGCTGTTAAATGTTAATGGCTCACCCCGCCTTAAAAACCTTTCAATTAACTACCTAATACAGTGCTGTTTAAAGAAACATGCT